TGGCAGCCTCTTGGGAGGCTGCTGGAGTGTCTGCACATCTGGCCAGTGCTGGTGCAGGCAGGCTCTGAGCCCCGCCCCAGGCAAACAGGTTCAATGGTGCTCTAACTATGGAGCTTTTCTGTAAAGTGCCATAATTAGAAAGCCTCCCAAAACAGGCTGCTTAAATGTCAGTATGCACCCAAAATCTCCAATTTTGGCCTTCCATCAAAAAAATATTTAACCTAAGTAGATATGCTGATTTTCATCAGCTGAAGATCTGGCCATCTTCATTGCCGTCAGCAAAGTTACGCAAAATAACTTCAGCTGAGGACTTTGTTCCAACATACCTGCATCTGGACTCATTCCCTGCATAACCGTGGAAAATTATTTCACTTTTTTTTTTTTAAATCCCTTTTCCACCCTACCTGGAAAATTAGAACACTAATGCTGTACCTCACAGTCATGCTGCAAAGTTTAATCCTTTAAATTTAATGTTTATTAAGTGCTTTTGCATACCTATATGAAAGGTGCTATGAAACTGCTAAGTATTAGTAGTAATATTAAGCAGGAAATTCAGCTGGGACTGGTATAAGAAATTCCTTATTCCAAAACTAGACTTTTCAATAATAGCAAACAAAACATAGGGCAAGGACATTTTTTTAAATCCATTTTTTTCTACTAAAATGTGCTTTACCATGAAAGTCACCCTTTAATAGAGAACAGATCAAAATAAATCTCTTAATATTTTAAAAGGTGATCAGAAAAGCTTACAAGACATTATTAGAGGGTTCTGTTTTTCTGTGATAATAAATGATAATATCACTAACACCTGCAAAGCAAAACAACATGCTGCATTATTTATGGTGGTTTAGGAACTAGTGATTTAAACAATTGCAGTAAGAAAATGTAGAACCCTGAACTCAGGTCTCAACAGGCAGGTAAGTGGGGAGAACATTGACCTTTGATAATATTTGCTTTTATATATCTATTTGTAATAGTCTGAGTCTCCTATAGTAGGTAATTGCATATGTGTCTTACACATTTTTAAAATACCTAGTTTATCTTTGATAGTCAGTGGTTTCACTAAAATAAATCCAATTAAACTAGGTTGCAGCGTTTAACACCCTGCACATTTTGGTTTTATAAATAAACTCTGAAGTGCTCATTTTCACCACTGCAATCAGTGTAGCTTGCATCTGAATGCTCACTGTTCAAGTTATTTCTGTATGTTTTCTCTATCAGGACTTGATAGTGTTTAGCGAAGATGAAAAGACACCTACCTCCACTTTGCTACCACCATTTCCTGCATTGAACTCTTCTGATGAACGATCACCAGTGGCTAAGTCTGCTGTCAGCGATTCCTGGAAGCAAAGTAAGGTTAAACAGTTCAAAAGCTGAATAGGGGCAGAAGTTTGACATGAATACAGGATCTTTAACTAACTGAATTTTATCCAAATAAGACAGTTTTGGAAGTACTTTATTTAACCACTTGATTGCTGAATAAAGTAACTTGTAGATAAAGCAGGTTGTGTTTCTGCCCCACTTATCATGAACAGCATTTTGAAGTGCTTTCAAAGAATGGTTCACTCCTGTGGATACCAGGAAGGAAACAGTTGAAATGGGAAGATCTGAAGAAAAATCATTCTGATATAGATAACTACCCATGGATTTGAATGCTCATTCTGGATTTTTTTTTGTCTCTTTATGTTCCACACTTTTATATTACTCAGATCTTCCCTAGTACTCCTTTAAATGCAGGATGTCAGCCTCTTTGCTTGTCCCTTGAGCACTATCAAGATTTACTTTTTGTTCTATGCTTTATTTTTCCATGCATTGCAAGCACATTGTTTACATGAGTGTAATACAACAGAGCATGAGATCCAACCGAAAAGGCTAGCAGTATAGCTGGATATCAGTCTGTTCAAAGGTAGAGAGGAAGGGCTCTAGGAATGGAATAAGGGACACTATGTGAGGGAGAGTAGATATAAGAAGGCAGCCAGGAGTGGAGAAGGATAGAGAGATGTCAGGGGAAAAGAATCACCATGAGTGGGGCAAGAGGTAAAAGGGAGAGAAGGAAGAATCTAGGGCAGGGTACTGGTGCTGAGGAAGAGGTTGTTTCAGTATTGTGGGGAGAGGGAGAAATATGAACCTTAGGCCTTGGTACACCACTTAATCACATCTTAAGTAGTTACCCAGCCACATGTCAATGCAATTCAGTGCCGTAGCAAAGCTGGGATGGAGCACGGGATAGAGCTGCAAGCAGCTCATTTGGGAAGGCATGGGGATGGGGCAAGGGTGGTTCCTGCTGCTGCACACATTCCCAGGCAAGCATGGAGGGGCATGTGCCCCATGGATTTGTGCACCGGGTGAGGGTGGGCTGCTGCTGCAGGCTTTGCCCCCAGATGCCAAATTTTGTTGCTACAACACTTATGCGATTAATGGCATAACAAGGAATAAGCCACAAAGTTATTATATAAAATATGTGTAATAACTTTGTGGCTGGTTCCTGTCATGCCATTAATTGAATGTGGGGCCAGGCTGATTGGGGCTTCCAGCCTCCAGAGTAAGGATGTGAAAAGTTAAATGATTAATTGTTTAACCGATAAATTCAGTGATAACTGGTTAGTAGGGCTGTGTGAAGCTTTGGGTGCTGATTTGATTTGGAGGAGATTTGGCCTGATTCGGCAGCTGAATCTCTGAATCCAAACTGAATTGGGAGATCAATAAAAAGGTCCAAATCGATCTGAAGCTCTCTGAATCTATTCAGAAAAGAATTCAGGCAGTCCCTGCTTGCCGCCGCAGGGAGCTGGACCTGGACTCCATGTCGGTAAGTAGAGGAGGGGGAAGGGGACCATGGTGGGACCCCCAGCAGGCCCCATCCCTTGCTTGTTTCCTCAGCCCTCCTGAGCACCCTGCAACCCCTGCCCATTCTCCCAGTCCTGTCAATGGCTGCCCTGCCTCATCCAGCTCCCAGCTCTTTTTGTTTGTTTGTTTTTTAAAACCCTGCACTCACCAGCTGCTGCAGTGGCTGTTGGGGCTTCTGGGGGCTTGTGGCAGAGTCCCCCATGCAGCACCAGGCAGCGGGGATCCCCGCCCCTCCACACCTGGCAGGAGCCAGTGAGTGTGGGGCTTTTTAAAAAATTTTTTAAGAGCCAGGATGCTGGAGCCTGGTGGGGTAGCCATTGACAGGGCTGGGAGAGCAGGTGGGAGACGGGGCCTGTTTGATTCGGAGATTCAGATGAATTGATTCGGGACCGTGATTTGAATCACTGAAATGAATCACTGTCCTCTGAATTGGCAGAATCTGAATCCAAAGCGAATACTAGCCACTTCGCACAGGCCTACTGGTTAACTTAGCTCTGGGCAGTCACAGTCTGGCACAGAAATGGGGAAGGGAAGCTGTGAGTGGTGCCACTGCAGGGAGGGGGAGGAGCAAGGAAGACAGGAGAGGGAAGGGTGAGAGAACTAGTACCCATAGCCTAAATAGAAAACAGCCAACAGCCTAATAACTCATCAGTTAAGCAATTATTTGCTCCTGCTTCACAGGTGCTCCCTCCCTCCCAGCAAGGGCTTCAGATGGGCTGTGTTGTCCGGCTAGGCTTGCCTCCTTCCTCCCCTCCCCCCCGCCCAGTCAAAGGGCTCCCGGCAGCAGTTCTGCCAGAGCTGCTGTATTAATGATTAATTGTTTAACTGATATAATTAGAGGAAGTTAAAGAAATTTTATTTTTAAATGATATTTACATCCCTACTCCAGAGTGCGTGGGAGCCCTTGACCCCCATGTGCTCTTGCGGCTGTGATTGTGGATCAGCTGATTGCCACTCCCAGCTCCAGTGCCCCATTGAAGTCAAGGGCTTTGATAAGCCCCCAAGGCTGAGAACTGTGATCAGCTGCTGGTCTCAGCCACAGGGGCGTACTGGAGCCCTTGACTCTGATACACCCTTCAACTGGGAGCAGTGACAGATTGGGGCTCCCAGCCTTCTGGGCACAGCTGAAGTCAAGGGCCTTACTGCACCACTGCAGCTGGGAGCTGTGCTCAGCTAATCCAGGCTTCCAGTCCTGGGGATGGATGGTATAACCTTGTGACTGGGAGCCCCATCAGCTAATCCAGGCTCCCAGGTGAAGGAGTGTGTTACTGTCAGTGTAGGGGGAGCCTGAAATAAGAATCCTGATGCCCTGCACTAGCAGTATGGCCTGATGGGAGCTGATGCTCGATCCCACAATGCACGTGTGGTGTGGTAGGAAGCGTGATTATGGGGATTGCACATCAGATCCCATAGTGCCTTTAACTGCATGTCTGCCAGGGGCCTTACATTTCAAAATCATGTCAGAGAAATCATTGCAGTTCAGTTAATATTTTTTCTGACCCAGCTTGCACAGTCTACCTTGAGAGAGAGTCTCTGAAATTGAGTTCTTTCTATATTGATTTCCAACGACTGATACCAGCTTAAAATATCTCTCTGTAGGTAGGAGCAATTCTACTTCTCCCAAATATGCTATGCACTTTCTCCCTTCCACTTCATTGGGTTTTAGGGTCTGGTGGCAGAGATGCCGAAGTGTCTGAAGTCAGAGTTTGAGTCTTCCCTCAGACTTGCACCCAAGGTTAATGTCAATCAACCCAAATGTAAATGAGTTTGGAGTTATTTGGAATGGGGAGCAGACGCACGCATGTGATGCTAGGCACATCTTTCTTTTTGTGCCATTTGGCAAGATAAGATTCAGTGCCTTAATCAGGCTAGCCTAGTGGGCTACTAGGTTTAGGCAGACTTTAGGCCCTGACTTCAGTGGATAAAGAATTAGAATCAATTTCCTTTAGAAGCTCATTGTTCCTGCTTGTGCCTGTTCTCCTCTATGAGGTTGCAACTAAGCATAAGCAGAGGATTAGGACCTTAAATGCAAGAAGACATTGGGGTGGGGGGTGTGAGAGGAATAAGCAGGTGGAACAGGTGAATTCTAGAAAAGGTTTGCATGCCAATGCTTGTCTCCTTAGCAATGGAGGGGGAAGGCGGGGGGGGCAGAGTCAAGTCAAACAGGAACACACAAGTCAAACAGGAAATCTCAGAGATTAGTAGCTGAATTGGTTTTACGTTTTTAAGTCTTCTATGAGACTTCAGCAACTCTTCACATTCTCAATGAAGATGTGAAACAGAAGACTTAGCACTGCTGTAAAATTATATTTAGGTATGTGCATAAGATGCCTATTTGGAAGAAGAAAAATCCTGTTAACTTTTATTCCCTAGTCTTCCCTACCTTTAAAACTATGGGAGAATGTGTCACCTCATTATTTGTGTATGTGAAGCAGGCCATAAATGTGTCTTTCTAAAAAGCCTGTCATAAAATGGAGTGGTGGGAAACGAAAGGGTTCATTTTTCATCCCAGTGAATGCAATAGGTCAAAGCCAAAGCTGCTTGCAGTAAAAGTCAATTAGAGAATTGAAAGATTGGAGGGACTTAACTACATATAGGACTGCAGTCTCCCTGTATTTATCCTTCAGGGGAAAAATAATCACCATGTCATGTTAGAAAGTCTAAAATAAATTTGAGAGACTGTAAATTCCTCAGCATTGGGGGCTGCATTATGAGTTCTGGGAGAAGCAATTTTTAACATGCCTTTAACAAATTTCTGCCAGAAGACAAACATAAAAATCCCACTCTGGTTTCTAGATTGGTTCTTATCATACCTGATCAGCACCGGCCTTGTCACACTGGCTGCATCACGTGTACATGATACTTGATTTCACAGATATCATGTGTGACTGAGCTCAAAATGGAACCCAATCACAGGAAGGGATTTAAGATAGTTGGGTTTTTTTAAAGAAAACAGCTCAGCTGAAAGAGAAAAAATCTACATTAATTACAGTTCCTCTTCTAGCTCCCTCCCACACCTCTCAGTGTATGCTATTCTAAGTTCAAGTTTTTTGCTGAGGAGCATACTAACAACCAGTATATTTAAGAAAATGTACTGCTTTGAATCCAACTGTGCCAGACTGTCCTATTGTTTTGAGTTTCCTGGGAGCAGGGATTGAGTTAACATAGTGAAACTTGTATATGACAGGTCTGGTGCAAGTTGTGTGGCTGGCTATTGCAGTTACGTTTATGTTTGATTTCTCAGTGAACATTGTTTCCATTTTGGGTGCAGACTTAGCATTAGAAGGCAGTGTTTGAGGTATGTATGAATTGAGGGGGCCTAGAGTATGTGTAACTGGAAGAGGTACCTGAGCTAGCTTGGGTACTAGAAGCACTATAGCTGTGGTACTGTAGCACTCCTGAGTTAATCAGGGCCAGATCCAGGTGTGCAGTGGCATGGTATCACTCCCCTTTAAGATCACATGAGAGAAGCGGCATCCAGGGCATTTGTTCAAGACCCTAAAGCAA